TTTATGAGGAGTTCACTGTTATTGGTTACTTCTTAAAGAGAACGCCACACTGATCATGATTCATCCTTGGAAACCTCCCAGCTATAAGATTTGATATGGAAATGTTCTTTTTCTGAGTTTGTTATTAGGTATTTACATTGATTTTGCTTATATAAGGCACCTAAGATTGAATATTGTTATTGTTTTTGAAGGAGCATTGTTTCATCATTATGACTATTACACTAGCATGTTTTCTGACTTGTCCCTCATTAAAATGGTTATGGTTAAGTATTATTACTCACTGAGCTAGCGTCTCACTCCTCGCTAATTGTTTTTACAGAGAATTCAGGTGGTATTGAAGAGGATTTCATTAACTAGCGTTTGAGTTGATAGCATCTGGTGAGCCCCGCATTGCTTCGTGTGGCAAGAGAACTATTGATTTGCTATGTTTATTTAGTTTCTTTTAAAAACTCTTAGAGTCGCTCCATTTGTCATTTCTTTAATTTGAGTCAAGATTAGTCCTTCGAATTGTAGTCAAGTGACTAGTTTGGAACTTTTTCCGTAATTTGGAGATGAATTGGTTTTATTGCGTGACAATTTGATCATTGATGGATATTATATGGGTGGTTTATAGTTGCTATTAGTTGTGTTGTGAATTTCTGAGACAGGAAAAATCTAGGATAGGCCTAAAATCAAAGGAAAATCTGCCCGATTTTCTGTAGAATTCTGGTGAGGCTTGCTTTGGGATTCTCCCCCTTAGCGCCGGTCATGATCCTTAATTGGGTCGTGACAACTATCAAGTGTTCACTTTCCTATTTGAACTATCATAAACGATTCATCAAAAAAAAAAAAAATACTCACCAACTATTATGTGTTCACGTTTTCTATCTCAGTAATTCATCAAAACACACATCAATTATCAGTTATTTCCTTTTCCTACCTAAATCGTCATCATAAGTAGGAAAAAGGAACAATTGATATTTTAGGTGTGTTTCAATAAACATTTAATTCAAATAGGAAACTCACATAACTGAAAGTTGATATACGAAACCCAAAAAAACAAGTATACTTTAGGTGAGCCTTTGAAGTTTCGCTCTTTTGACACAAATGATCACTTCTATAAATTATGGAGTAGCTTTTTAAGAAAATCATTTTCAATGAAAATAAAATTCGTTCTTACCAAACACACCGGAATAATAAATTAAACAAAATTATGAAGAAAATGAAACCTGGAGGAAACCCCATTGTTGGCAAGCAGAGTGAAGCTTTTGCAGTTCAGAATCCATGGAATCCCTTGAAATCAACTTTTGAACATCGATAACTGGAACCGACGCTCCGGCGGATATGACCGGAGATTCTTCCTCTGGGTGGACATACCTGGCCGGAATATTGGTTAGGTGCTGTTTGGCAAGCTCTTGAACACTTGGTACTAACAGAGATTTTCCGAAGTTCAATTTTGCTGGCGTTGACTCCATTGGGTCTTGTTAATTTGGGTTTTATTTCTTCCAATGCCATACTAATTTTTAATTATTTTTTTTATATACATAAAAGTCCACCCTAAATGAGGCAGACGTCTCAATTTTCAAATTTTAGGTCCGATTTTTCTTTTCCTCACATTGTATTTTAACTTTAAAATCAAATTCTATTAGCTAATGTTTATTATTTTTCAATTCGAAAAATATAGAGATAAAAATATGTTTTATTTTATTAGGAATTTTTTTTTATCATTATCTAAATGAAAATTAATGATGAATTACTATGAATTTATATATATGGAAAATTAATAATAAATTACAATAATTATACTAAGAAAAGAATGTGTTTAAAAAGGGGGAAAATAATATATTTATCAGTAAAAGTTCATTTTTGACCCCAAAAGTAATAATAGGGGCATTTTTAAATAAAATTCTTAATGGCAAGAATATTTTTTAATCAAGCTATAAACTGAGGATGTTGTTATTTAATTTCACAATGTTTAAAAGCCTTTTTATCCTTTCAAATAAAGTGCAATTTATTGGAAAAATAAGGTAAAATAGTAATAAAAAAATAGTACTTTTTATTCAAATTTGTACTAACCTATGTTTTAACATTAATGTTGTTCAAATATTGTCCTACTATTCTTCTATTACACCATATTTATAGGGTCAAATTAATATTGTAAACCTTTTGCATCTAATCAAACATCATCATAAATAATGAAACCTTTTATCGATTTTCATAAAATGTTTGAGAAGATTCTCCCCCAATCATTTGTAGTGTTAGTTAGCATAATTTATGTGCTAAGTAAGTATCAACTTCAATCGAGATGTCTAAATAAAAATACGTTATATACTCTACCTAAGAGGTTTTTTATTTATCTATATCCAATAGTTGGTACGTGTTTGATGAATAAATGTTATACTATAAAAAAAAAAAAAGTCCCTTAAAAGTAATCATAAATTCTTTTATACCAATATAATACAACAACAAAAGAACAATTTATATTCTCAATAAAAAAAGTCACATTTGATGAAATGAAGAGTACAGTATTTGTATTCTTTATAGTAATCAAACAGGGGAACACCAAATTACAATAGCAAGAGTAACCAACTTATACTACATCAAATGTTACCTAGGATTCATCATCCTTTGCCTCTACCTTCATGGAATCAAGGTATGACTTTCCGTCAAGTTTTCGTGTAAAAAAGTCCTGTAAATATTTATGCACGGGAACTCTTCGGAAAATGGGAGGATTATGTGGTCCAATGAGGCTGTGTGCAGGTCCTAATTCGGATTCAAGGTTGAAGGCACAGAATGTTGCAACAGAGAGCCTCTCTTTGTTTGAGTTTACAATTGCTCTGTGCTCAATGCTCCTATACACACCATTGCTCACTATCTGCCAAGTCAAATAGTAACACATTTTACGTCAACAATATGTTAAATGATATTTTCAACAATAGAGAATCTTATTAGAATATGAGCGCTTTCTTTACCAACAACCAAAAAAAAGTTTATAACGACCAATAAGTTCAAAACAAGCAAGTTTTAATCATCCAAATTAGCCATATTATCCGACAAATTAAATCAATGAAAATAGTATGGCTCCCCTGCTTCCACCTCCCTCCAAGCATCTTCCTTTTTGAATCGAAAGAGTTGAATCATGTGTAATTCTATTACACATAAATTCTCAATTAAGTACTTTCAAGAAAATTCAGAAGTGTTAATTAATACGTGAAGCATGATGCATGACACTGTGAATAAAACCAAACTTAACCAATAACTTGCACACCAAAACTACAATTTTCACTACGTCACTACCCATTAAGAAATAAATTACTTAGTAAAAAGTTGTTATTTACCTCCATCATATCCCCAATATTCACAATCAAAGCATTTGGGAGGGGCTTTATAGGCACCCAAACATCGTCTTTTCGGATTTGGAGACCTTCAGTTTCATTGAGCTGGAAGAGGATGGTGAGAGCATCAGCATCAGAATGAGGGCTTATGCCAATTGCCTTGTCTGGCTCAGGGCAAGGCGGATAATAATTCATCCTCATCGACTGCATACCATCAGTGAATAGATCTCGCATTTCTTTTTCATCCATCCTTAAAGCCTTTGCCAATTGACATAGAATGCTCATTGATAGGCTCTTGATTTCTTTGCAGTATGCTTCCATGATGTCCCTGCATTTCAAACACACAAACAAATTAAAAGCTTAGGAGTGCGAAGATCAAGGCACAAGTTAGAAATACAAGTTTTAACAATAAGTATATATAGTTAACAATCTGGTTAACTAATTTATTGTGACAAAAAGTAATTGTGTTCACTTATATCAAATAGTTTAATGAACGTTTAAAGTAATGAACTCTCAAATAGAGTAATACTCTAGTAAGGAGATAGGCACCTGAGCTTCGAGGGCAACTTCTGAAACAAGTCCACTTTGCGGATATGAGGAGGAAGAGTCAGTATCCCAAATCTGTCACTCCAATCAAGCTTCTGCTCCTCTGACACAACGAATGCATGCCCGAAACCTTCCAAGCTGTCTTCCTGTTTCCATAGTTTCTTCTTTTCTTCCATTGGAAGACTGAACAATTCAATAACCTCTCTCTTGAAGTCCTCCAGTAACGAAGGTGTCACTCCATGGTTTATAACCTAACAATCAACAATATGCCAGAAAATTCATCAACCTTTTAAAAATTACAAATCTAGGCACTCTACCAGAAAACAAAAAGTCATTTTTCTAAACTCATCGTCATACGACCAATAAATGAGAAGGATTATGCATTTTAGACTCTATTATTCTGATACTACGGTTTATCCTTGAGAAGTTAAAATATGAACATTTTTGTTTGGGGGGGAAGGAAAGCTGAAAATAAGTTTTAACATGTCTTATATGTTTAATTTGAACTAGATAGATGAAAAGTACGTTAAGAATAGAGTATGTTTGGCCAAAATTTCTAAAAAATTGCTTACTTTGTTAAAAGTAAACTGTCAAAAGCACACCTAAAGTAACCTGATTTTTTGAGTTTTGTACCAATTTTCCTATTTGTCTCAACTATTATCAACAATTTATCAAAATACGTATTAACTATCAATTGTTTTCTTTTCCAACTTGAAATATTATCATCATTCAGGTAAGAAAAAAGGAACCATTGATAGATGAATTGTATTTCAATAAACATTTGTTGATAGTTAAAGTAGGAAACTCACATTAGTGAGAGAAAAACATAAACTATAGGAGTGTTTTTGAAGCTTTGCAAATAAAATTTATTCGTACCAAACACACCATTACAATTAAACAAAATTATGAAGAAAACCAAACCTGTAGGAAACCCCATTGTTGGCAAGCCGAGTGAAGTTTTTGCAGCTCAGAATCCATGGAATCACCTGAAATAAACTTTTGAAGATGGATAACTGGAACCTCCGCTCCGGCGGAAATGACCGGAGTTTCTTGCTCTGGGCGGAGATACCTGTCCGGAATATTGGTTAGGTGCTGTTCGGCAAGCTCTTGAACACTTGGAACTAACAGGGATTTTCCAAGGTTCAATTTTGCCGGTGTTGACTCCATTGGCTCTTGTTGCAAACTTGAAAATTTCTATTAATTCGAAATTCAGATGTAGGTGCAGCAAGGCTGAAACTATAAAAAAAATCCACACTTAATTCTGTTTCAACTTATGTATGACATTGTGCCAACTTATTTATCATTTTACAATATCAAATGTTCTTAAAATAAGATTACCTTAGTCTTATTTATGTAATTTATTCTAAACAACTTGCAAAAACAAAGTGTGAAATGACAACTAATATGAGACTGAAGGAGTACAACTTTTATAGTTTACTAGTGTATCCAATTTATTTATTTACTTTGTTTTTCATTCAATATTTGATACTTATATTGAAGTCCGATTAATTTAGATTCGATTTGCACCGCGTAGGACACCATTCAAAAGGAAATGCTTCCTAGCAAGAATTTTTCCTTACTCAAACCTCGAAATCAAAATCTCTAATTAAGAGTGAAACAAGCTCATCCTTGAATGCTATTAGTATCAAATATTTACTAACCAATGTTTGTTAATGTTTGATTTTTAACATGAGAAGGTGACCTTGAAGAACAAAAAGAGACATGTCAACCATGTTAGGGGGCATCCATAAAATAGGGACGCCTATTAAATAGTACACCATACTAGAAGCACATTAAAAAAAGCACAGTACATGAACATGACATTTAACTTAGTCTCATTTTATATCTATGCCTTCAAACTTTAGGTGTGCAGAAGAAGACACTTAAATTGAACAAATAGACACACACGTTCAATGTGGCATCTTACATGACAATTTGCATCGTACGTGGTGTCATATGTGTATTATGCCACATAGGACTCTGTGTCTACTTATTTAACTTTATACAAATTTAAGTGTTTACTTGTGCACACCCAAAGTTGGAGAGCGAAATTGTGAAATGAGACCAAGTTAAAGGGCATATTATTTATGTATTATGCCTGAAATAAACTTGTGACTTTTAGTATTTTTCTTACTTATTCACTATTATATAGTTTTTATTATTTTATTTTTATATCTTTATTAATTTTAAAAATAGTTATCTACTATTTAAATTAGTTATTTCTTCCGTCTCATATTAGTGGATCATTTTCCATTTTGCACTGTGCTTAAGAAATCATAAATAAGATGAGTAAGTATGTGAAGCTATTGGATACCGGAGTGAGAATGGTGGCCAGATTCAATTCTCACTGTCCTCAAACTTCCCGTCTGTACTATCATCCTCCCCGCAGGCACGATGAAGGTCACCACCACAACCTCCAATTCTTCGGCGGTGATGGCTGGAAGAACCACCAGATTGGCGTCTTCGGCGGTGAAAACGTGTTCGGTGTTCGATTTGGGGGTTTTGTTGCTAAAATTGGGACTGATAGCACTGATTTCATTCTTTATTCTGTAGTTTAACCATATCACTTATTTTTGAATTTATTATACTCTTCGAATTACTTTGATGTGTTTTCCCTGGAACAAGTGGAGGCTTTTTGTTTTGTTAATTTTAATTTTTTGCTTTAGAGTATTTGATCTTGCATTCGAAGGTCTAAACCTGACATTTTATCCTGCAATTACTATACCTTATTAGATCATGGCGTTTTCAAACACTAATTATTCTGTTCCACATAGAAGTTAGCTAGCTAGCCAGAAATATTAGAACGTGGCGTAATGTTATTTGTATTACGTGCATAAGTAAGACGGTAAAATAATTAGCAGTAAATAAATTAGCCAAATAAAAAGAAGAAAAAAAGATTTCTTTGTATCCACAATTTTTGCTCATGGGATAGGAAGGAAGAACCACCTTCTTTCCCGATGGATATACAAACATTTGGGCGCAAAACTTTCTTCGTGAAAAACGCTCATCCATGTTAATATAGGATTGTTTTTCATTATGCTTTTACTAAAAGAAAAAAAAATTAAATCTACCATTTTCTAAAAATAATTTTTTCTTTAGTACGATCCGGCTTCACCGCAACTTTTAGGGGATAGTTTGTGTATTTTTCCCTAAAATAATTCATGAAAATTTCCCAGGGCAAGAGGTGCAACCCAAAAATATTGTGTCTAAAGTAACCCACATATTAATATTTGCTTCACGTCAATACAGCTAACAAATAGAAAACAGGGGAACTCCAAATTACAACAACAAGACAGACATATATCAAATGCTACCTATGATTCAGCATCCCTCGCCTCGACCTTCATGAAATCAAGATACGATTTTCCGTCAAGTTTTCGTGCAAAAAAGCCTTGTAAATATTTTTGCACGGAAACTCTTCGGAAAATGGGAGGATTATGTGGTCCAATGAGGCTGTGTGCAGGTCCTAACTCGGACTCAAGGTTGATGTTATAGAATGTCGCAACAGAGAGTCGTTCTTCATTTGAGTTTACAATTGCTCTATGCTCAATGCTCCTATAGACACCATTGCTCACTATCTGCCAAGTCAAATATAACACATTTATTCTCAATTAAGTACTTTCATGAAAATTTTAAAGTGTTAAATACGCGAAGCATGATGCGTGACACTGTGAATCAAAACCAAACTAAACCATTAACTTGCACACAAAAACTACAATTATCACTATGTCGCTACCCTTTTGAGAAATAAATTACTCAGTAAAATGATGTTATTTACCTCCATCATATCGCCAATATTGACAATCAAAGCATTTGGGAGGGGATTTATAGGCACCCAAATATCGTCTTTTCGGACTTGGAGACCTTCAGTTTCATTGAGCTGGAAGAGGATGGTGAGGGCATCCGCATCAGAATGAGGGCTTAAGCCAATTGCCCTGTCTGGCTCAGGACAAGGCGGATAATAATTCATCCTCATTGACTGCATACCATCACTGAATAGATCTCGCATTTCTTTTTCATTCATCCTTAAAGCCTTGGCCAATTGACATACGATGATCACTGATAGGTTCTTGATTTCTTTTGAGTATTCTTCCATGATGTCCCTGCATTTCAAACACCCCATCAATTTCTTGACTTTTCTACTACAAAAGAAAGACCAGTAAGGGAGTTGAGTAAGCATGTCCTGAGAGAGAGTAAGGAGATGGGCACCTGAGCTTCGAGGGCAACTTCTGAAACAAGTCCACTTTGCGGATATGAGGAGGAAGAGTTATTATGCCAAACATGTCACTCCAATCAAGCTTCTGCTTCTCCGATACAACAAACAGATGCCCGAAACCTTCAAAGCTGTCTTTCTGTTGCCATAGTTTCTTCTTTTCTTCCATTGGAAGTTTGAACAATTCAATAACCTCACTCTTGAAGTCCTCCAGTAACGAAGGTGTCACTCCATGGTTTATAACCTAACATTCAACAATATGTGAGTTAATTTCTCAAACAGTCATTCAACTAATAAGTCATTTTCAATGCAAATAAAATGCATTCGTTATAAACACACTGGAATAATTAAACAAAATTACGAAGAAAATGAAACCTGTAGGAAACCCCATTCTTGGCAAGCAGAGTGAAGCTTTTGTAGCTCAGAGTCCATGGAATCCCCTGAAATCAACTTTTGAAGATCGATAACAGGAACTGATGGTCCGGGAGATATGACCGGAGATTCTTGTTGTGGGCGGACATACCTGTCCGGAATATTGGTTAGGTGCTGTTTGGCAAGCTCTTGAACACTTGGTACTAACAGAGAATTTCCAAAGTTCAATTTTTCCGGCGTTGACTCCATTTGCTCTTGTTGCAAACTTGAAAAATTACTCTTGGGTTTAATCAATTTATGTGACACATTTCAGATTTCGAGATTCAAACAAGTTTATCTTTGACTGTAAATTTTTCCTATATCTTTAAAATATTTTGAATTATCAATTATTGGACTAATAGTACTTTTTATGTAGTTTACAAATATATAAATTTCATTTTAAAAAAATTGAAGATTTCATGAGCAAATCCTCGATTAAACTTAAATTGTTTGACTCTCGAAAAGCAAAGTGTGTCACATAAATTGGGACAGAGGGAGTAGTATATAGTAGTGGAAATTTTTAATTTTTATATATGTGATGATAGATACATTTTGTCATTGTATAATCGTCCGGTACCAGATTTACATAGCCGCCGGAGCTGTTCAGCAACTCTATTTGACTGTTGACTCTGTCGCCATCTTCACAATTAGGACATTCCAAGTTCAGATGAACATGCTGCAACGCTGAAACTATCAAAAATCAACATCTAATTCTGTCTCAGGTTCCCTTTTATCATCCCATGTGATGTCTACTTTAATATATTTTTATTTCAATTAAAATTTGCTCTCTAATTAAATATTCTACGCAATTCAATTGTTAAAACTTAATGAACTCAACTCCTAAACCTTCTGGTTTTCCTCTCAGAAACTTCCAAGTTCACATCATTAGCATTCTGAACATGAAAAAGTATTATTTAAATATTTTTCTTAATTATTTATTATTATAATCTAATTATTTAATTTTTCTATTTTTTATTAATTTAAAAATAGTTAGCTAATATGAAATTAGCTATTAGCAAAAGTAGTTCGTGGGCAATTTCAAACACTAATTATTCTGTTCCCACATAGAAGTTGAAATATTAATTAGAGGTTAGCTAGCTAACGCCATAATAAATAAAAAACCGTCACATACAATGAAATTGATGAAGAGTACTCTTATTTATAGTAATCAAACAGGGGAACTACAAATTTCAATGGCAAGAGTAACTTATATATCAAATGCTACCTAGGATTCTCCATTACCGGCCTCTAACTTCATGACATCAAGGTATGATTTTCCGTCAAGTTTTCGTGCAAAATAATCCAGTAAATATTTTTGCACGACAACACTTCGGAAAATTGGAGGATTATTCGGTCCAATGAGGCTGTGTGCAGGTCCTAATTCGGAATCAAGGTTGAAGATAGAGAAAGCTGTAACAGAGAGCCTCTCTTTGTTTGAGTTTACAATTGCTCTGTGTTCAATGCTCTTATAAACACCATTGCTTACTATCTGCCAAAGTCAAATATAACACATTTACGTACACACAACATGATGAGACGGTGAATAAAACCAAACAAAAAATTGTAATTTACCTCCATATCGCCAATATACACAATCAAAGCATTTGGAAGGGGCTGTATAGGCACCCAAATGCCGTCTCTTCGGACTTGGAGACCTTCAGTTTCATTTAGTTGGAAAAGGATGGTGAGGGCATCAGCATCAAGAATGAGGGCTAAAGCCAATTGCCCTGTCTGGCTCAGGGCAAGGTGGATAATAATTCATCCTCATTGACTGCATACCATCATTGAATATATCTCGCATTTCTTTTTCATCCATCCTTAAAGCCTTGGCCAATTGACATACGATGATCGTAGCTAGGCTCTTGATTTCTTTGGAGTATGCTTCCATGATGCCCCTGCATTTCAAAATTATCCAAACATTTATGTGAAAAACAAGTTTTAACAAAAAGTATAGTAACAAGTCTGGTAATTGATCTCAAACAATATCATGGCTCTTCATTATTAGTCCCCCTCATTTTGTGGTTATAAATTATCAACCATAAGAGCTCACTTATTTTCTTGTAAATTGCACCTCAGGGAGAAGAGAAAAGACATTAAATGCATCGTAAAGTAGTTCTGAAAAGTCGTCTTCACACTTAAACTAATCTGGCGATCTATTACGCAATTATACATATTAAAAGTAAATTTAATACCACTCTGAGACCTCTAACACCACTCTCACATTATGTGATGGTTTACACTCGCTCACGGTGTTTTTATAGGAAAAAGAAATCCATCTTGCCGAAAATAGCAGAACAAAGTCGGTTTTCTTGACTTTTTTCATACGAAAGAAAGAAAAGTAACTTTGTTCACTTGTTTCCAGTAGTTCCGTGATTGTTTAAGCAATGAACTCTGGAATAGAATAATGTTTATGTAACCATGTATGTTCCGGGAGATAGTAAGGAGATAGGCACCTGATCTTTGAGGGCAACTTCTGAAACAAGTCCACTTTGCGGATACGAGGAGGAAGAGTTATTATGCCAAACATGTCACACCAATCAAGCTTCTGCTCCTCCGATACAACGAATGCATTCCCAAAACCTTCAAAACTGTCTTCCTGTTGCCATAGTTTCTTCTTTTCTTCCATTGGAAGTCCAAACAATTCTACAACCTCTCTTGAACTCCTCCAACAATGAAGGTGTCACTCCATGGTTTATAACCTAAACATTCAACAATATGCGAGTTAATTTCTCAAACAGTCAGTCAACTAATATTTATTTGTCTCAAAAAGTCGCTCAATTATATTTCGGATAGATATTTTCCATGCAAAAGATTATAATTTTGTTACCAAACACACCGGAATAATTAATCTCACAGAATTATGAAGAAAATGAAACCTGGAGGAAACCCATTGTTGGCAAGCAGAGTGAAGCTTTTGTAGCTCAGAATCCATGGAATCCCCTGAAAACAACTTTTGAAGATCGATAACTGGAACCGACGCTCCGGCTAATATGACTGGAGATTCTTGTTCTGAGCGGACATACCTGGCCGGAATATTGGTTAGGTGCTGTTTGGCAAGCTCTTGAACACTTGGAACTAACAGAGATTTTCCAAAGTTCATTTTTGCGGGTGTTGATTCTATTCGTTCTTATTGCTAATTAGTATTAATTTGGTTTAGGGATTTACATGATTGGCCGCCGTAGCAGTTCCGCAACTCTATTTGACCATTGACTTTCTCCCCATCTTCACAATTAGGTAGATGCAAAAGCTAGAATTTTGAATTTTTTTATAACATCATTTTAAGTGATAATAACTGAATACTAACTTTAAATCTTAATGAGTATATTAATATAAATACACTAATTTTTTTTTAAAAAATATGCATTTTTAACCATTAAATAACAATAAGGGTGAAGTGAGAGAAGTCAACAAAAACTGTGCGATTATCTCAAACACCATAAAAATAGAGAGTTTATAATTTTTCTTCTTTATTACAGGCTTATAGTGTAATCAAATATAGGAACTTGAAAAAAAAAATTATTTCAGGGGATACAGATTAGCTAATAACCCAGTACATAGTAGAGCACCTAAGATTCGTCATCCTTGGTCTCAACCTTCATGCAATCAATGAAGGATTTTCCATATTGTTTTCTTTCAGAAAAATCCTGCAAAGATTTTCCTAGGTGGAATCTTGGGAAAATTGGAGGATTATTTGGTCCAATGAGGCTGTGTGCAGGTCCCAATTCAGAGACAGGGTTAAAGATATAGAATGTTGCAAGAGATAGCCTCTCTTGCTTTGCGTTTACAACTGCTCTGTGCTCAATGCTTCTATAAACACCGTTGCTCAATATCTGGACGCAAACATATGCAAACGTAGAGTAATATAGATATTAGAAAATGAGCTAGCTTGCTCTACATTACTCAACAATGAAATGAAAGTTCTCTCAATTATATATGTAATTACCTCCATCAAATCGCCAATATTCACAATGAAAGCATTTGGGAGGGGCTTTATAGGCACCCAAATATCGTCTTTTCGGACTTGGAGACCATCAGTTTCATTGAGCTGAAGAAGGATGGTGAGGGTATCAGTATCAGAATGAGGACTTACGCCAATGGTTTTGTCTGGCTCGGGGCAAGGAGGATAATAATTCATCCTTATTAGCTGCATACCATCATTGGATAGATCTCTCATTTCCTTTTCATCCATCCTTAAAGCCTTCCCCAATTGTCGTATGATGATCATCGTTAAGCTCTTCATCTCTTTGCAGTATTCTTCCATGATATCCCTAATGTATATCCACTAAATTAATTAGCATGAAAAGATGGATCAATCGATTGATATAGTACTTTTAATATACGAGGTACGTACCTAAGTGAGTGAGGGAGCTTAGGAAATAAGTGAGGTTTTCTAAAATTGATAGGCAGAGTGGTCATGTAAAATATGTCACCCCATTCTAACTTTTGCTCTTCAGTAAAAACAACATCTTGCCCATATCCTTCGACATCCCCTTCTTGTTGCTCAAATTTCTTCTTCTCTTCCATTGGTAGATTGAAAAATGCTTGGATTTCTGACTTCACTTTCTCCACCAACGATGAACTCACTCCGTGATTCACCACCTGCAACAGATCATGAACGCGTACATCATGTATTTGTATATAATAGACTATTAATTCTCCACGTGATGTACCTGGAAAAATCCCCATTCTTTGCAAGCAAAATGAAGCTCAGAATTATCATCTCCAATTGCCAGCATGTCAATCACTGGCAATAACATAGAAGAATCAGATATCTTTTCTATACCATCGTGAATATATCGCCGCGGAATGGTTCCTACTTGTTGCTTTGCCAGTTCTTGAACGTTATAAGGAGCTTTCAAATTTCTCGACCTTGCTTCTTCCATCTTCACTCTTTTTTTTCTTCTATTAATTAAGAGAACTTGCTTTAGATAGTAAAAACATATGGATAGCAAATCGTGGAATTAAACTTGGGATACTTGAAGCAGCATTTGTCCAGCAAAATATGGTCGAATTAAGTAATGACTTGTAGCGGTACTAGTTTTTGGGCACGCGTCTACCCCAATTTTATTGACCACAAAATTTTAAAAAATTACATAAATATTAATATTAAGAAACATTGAGCTATAAATTATATACTAAAGAAGAAGTGTAAATTCTTCAAGTGATATCTTAGGGTGTGTTTGGTATAAAGAAAAATGTTTTCCATGAAAAATGTTTTCTTAGAAAATGTTTTCCGGGAAAACAAGTAGACTTAGGACTTATTTTTTCATGTTTGGTTGGTGAGTTGAAAATATATTCCGAAAAAGATTTTTTCGTGTTTGATTTATGAATGAAAATATTTTTGAGAAAATATCTTTTATTTTTACTAGAGAGTAGAAAATAAATTTTGAATTGAAACTGAAAATATTTTTTTAAAATAAACTTAAATTTTTTTGGGGAAGGGTGGGGTGGGTGAGATGGGGTAAAAAAATAAAAAATTGTAATTGAAATATTTTGTAAGAATAAACTTAAGTTTTTTTTGGAGGGAGTGGGGGTGGGGTGGGGTAGGGTGATAAAATAAAAAATTGAAATTGAAAATATTTTTTTAAAAACAAACTTAAATTTGTTTTTGGAGTGGGGTGGGAGCTGATGTGGTGGGGGAGGAGGGGGTCGCGGGCAGAGGCGAATCCAAGATTTCAAGAAAACGGGTGCATCATTGTTTTAAAGATAAGATCAAAAAACTTATATTAACAATAACTAAGCATATATTTTTAAAAAATTGATTTTGTTAGTTTGTTTATTAAAATGAGGAATCATAAATTTAAAAAAAATAACCTTAAACTTTGACAAGATGATTTTTCTAGATTCTTGACTTGAAGTTGGAGACTTGGAGTTCTTTGTGTGGAAAATAAATGGCAAATTTAAAGAGAGAAGAAAAAAAAAATTGAAACTTGAAAAGTGGGTGAGAAAGAAACTTTTGAAGTCTTTTGACTTTAGAATTTGGCTTTTTAAAAATAAAACGTGTATTTTTAGTTAATAAAAAATGAAGCAAATTGTGGTTGGTTGGGATCGAACATGAAACCTTGGTGTTAAAATCCGGTTGTCACAACAATGAACCATCCAACGACTTTGAGAATGGGTTTCACAAGTTATTATTTAATATTTCTTTAATAATTATACAAGTAATATATCGAGTTTAGTCGGATGACCACGGGTTCCGATGACCCAATTTTAATACATAAATTTGCCCCTGGTCGCAGGTAGGGAGTTGGGGTGGAGTGGGGTGAAAAAATGAAAATCTGAAATTGAAAATATTATTTAAAAACAAACTTAATTTTTTTTGGAGGGGGTGGGGGGATGATGGGGGGGGGGTGTATGGGTAGGAGGTGAGGGTGGGGTAAAAAAATTAAAATTGAAGTTGAAAATATTATTATTTTTTAAAAAAGCTATAAATTTATTCTTTTCAACAAAAAAAAAGCAATTTGAAGTTGGAGGAGAATTTTGGAAAATGTTTTCCTTAATTTTTGAAGGGAAGTCATTTTTCTTAAATTTGAGAAAAATGAGTTTGTAACATCTCGCAATTTGAAATAACTAGGAAGAAGCTAATAATTGGAAATAGTCATTTTTGGAAATAATGAAAATCTGGAAATTTTGTTAAAGTTAGAATAAGTTGAGTTTTGGCCAACTTCAAACGGCCATAACTTCTAGCTCAGGATGAGTTATAGGTACTTCCAGATATGGTAGGAAAGCTCTTGGAATGATCTTTCCAACGCCGCTGAGTTTGCGCGATTCAGAGTTCGTATGAATGAGTTATGCCCTTTGGAATTTGAGTTGTTGGGAAAAGGAAAGTCCAATCCGAATTTTGAAAGGGTAGTTTGGTCTTTTCCTTGCCCTATTATTTTATTTCATTTTTGGTAATTAAGTTAGGGTCTAATCAGAATTAGATCAGTTTACGCTTTTACCAAAATACGTTAGGGCTTGGAGAGAAGAGAAAAGAAGAGGAGAAAGGAGAAGAGAAGCAAGATTCGTCAAGATCGTCGAGTTTAGCTTGTGAATTTCGTCGGGGGTGGATCCCTACAAGGTATGTGAGATCACATAGCATTGGGTTAGTTCACCCACACGCCAATCATGATTCAATTTAGCGAAATAATGTTTGATTTGAAAGTAAATCATTTGAGTTGTTGATGAAATTCGTTTGAATTCCTATGGGTTGTGTTGTTGAAGTTTCTTAATGATTTGATTCATGTTTCCGGGTGAAATTTCAAGTTGAATCTATTGTATATTGAGGATATTAGTGATTCTAAGTGTTTGGGGAAAGAACTAAGTGAAATTGGAGGGTTTAGAGATGAAAAACGAAGGAGAAAAGTCAGAGTTTTCTGGGCAAAGGCTTGGGACGCCGCGCCTCTCAGAACGCCCCACTTCAGAGTCTGAAGTTTGGGCTCTGGGGCGACGCGCCAGCCAGAACGCCACAACTTCAGCTCTGAAGTTTGTGCTCTAGCGCCCCGCGCCTCTCAGAGCGCCAAGGTCGTCAGTTCTTCCCATTTCTTCCCCAATCTTTCGTACTAGTTCCTCAGCAATATACCTATGTTTTCTAGTTGTTTCCAACACTCTAAGGTACATCTAAACATAATGAAATCATCCATAAATATGAGATCATGAACCTTGAATCCAGAATCCAATTCAAGGAAAGTTAAGATCAAAGTCAAGAGAAGTTCTTAGAGTTTTCCAAAAGTCTTTTCCAAATGTTTTAACTTTGTTTTAAGACTTAAAGTTCAAGTTGAGTAATGATTAAAGAGCAAAGTTTTATTTCTTCAAAAGTATATGGGGACTATGTATTTCCAAAGGGTTTAAAATATTTTCACATTTAAACAAGAAAGGAAACCTCGATTTTCAAAGAGCCTTCGGGCTAGTTTTCAGAAAAGAGTAATCGCTTTCTAAATGAAGCAAGAGAGGAATCTTTGATTTTCAAGATAGCCTTTGAGCTAAGTTTTTTAGCACAAATCTCAAATCACAGAAAGAAGTATGTTTTTAAACATAAGATCTAATATCATATTTTTGGGAGTAGTATTGAGCACCGATATGGGGGAGATTCAGACAACTCACAGTCCCCATAATCCATGTAGCCATCATGGGTAGAAAAGGGTCATACTTTTTAGATGATTCATTTAGTGCTTTTTAGCATAGACTAGTGGATCGACTTAGTAGTTCAAGTTTTATACCCTCGGCAAGGTATAGGACGACCCTGGCAGCTTGAGGCAAAACGATGTATCATCACAATAGCTCTTACGTGATGGTTGTCGGTTAGAGAAACTCACACAGAAGTAATTGTATTCTTATATACACAGTTTATTATATTTTTACATAAATTTCAGAGTTATATGTATCTTTGCATACACACAGAGTTGACATCATGTTTTAAACAGCTTTTCTTTATGTTGCACTTGTTTTAAACTGCTTTATATTGAATTAAGTTCAGTTATATTGAGTTGAGTTGAGCCAGGTAAGTTCTTCAGATTATTTTCAAGCCTATGTTGTGTTTAGTATTCCAACTCGCATACTCGTACATTCAATATACCGATGCCAGTTGGCATGCATCTTATTATGATGCAGACACTGGTAACTAGGATTTGCATCCGGGGCATCGTTGATCCAGTAATCACTCCACAGTCAGTTGGTGAGCCTCCTTGCATTCCGAAGGACTCCTTTTATTGCTTTTAGTTACTTTGTTAGTTCATTAGGATGTCGTGGGGTTTGTCCCGACATCCATCTCAGTTGTTTAGAGGTTTCATAGACAGTCAGATGTTAGTTCTTTAGTCTTTTCATTGTCATTATCTTATGTTAAGACTTGAGTTTGTCTTAATGGCCAGTTGAATGTTCATTTATAACATTCCAGTTTATTACATAGGCTTGTCTTTGTTGAATTAAGTCTTCCGCTGAGTAAGTAAGCCAAACCAAGGGTTCGCTTGGGGCCAGCAATGATTCTCAAGTGTCGGTCACTCCCAGAGTGTAGGCTCGGGGCGTGACAGAGTTGATTTGGAAAACATTTTACAAAATATTTAACCCAACCAAACATGAGAAAATTGAAAAACATTTTCTGGAAAATGTTTTCCTTCGTACCAAACACACCCTTAATCCTACTTGGCGAGCTCTTTAAAGGAAGAAATATTTCTCCAAAGAAATTCTTGGTTTTCTTACTTTGATTTCTAATTTCGCCTTTAATTAGCAAAGTTACTGGATCTTGTTTCTTTTGGTATAATATACAATCTCTTCTTTACCTATTGATTTGACAAAAATAACATTTTTAAATACCAACACTCAAGCAGAAAGGAGTAGAGAAATAGAAGCATATGTTTATATTACCTCCCAACCAACTAAAAATACATTTGGTGTAATTATGTTTTGTGTCACTATATTTTAATTATTTTTTTTGTGAATTTGATAAAGACCTATAAACGGAGAACTATAATGTATAACTTTACCTAAGGCATATTATATAGTATATATATATATATATATATATATATATTGGAATATTTAATGTGCATCAATTAAATATTGAATAAGGCATATATAATTGCATAAAGAATATGATATGTTTAAATGGTTGGAAGCTAAAGGTGAAGAAAATAAATATATGACACATATTAAACTTGTAAATAAAAAGTGCATAGAATTTGTACATGTCTAAAGTAGATGAAAGGTCTTTCCAATTAAATTTAATAGACAATTGATTTTTATAAAAAAATAAAATGATAAATATACTTTTAAAGCACATTTTAGTAATTCAACTTTTGACTTAGACTCTTTCCACTTTTAATAGAATGATCTTGTTGACTATATTACTAAAATCTAAACAAAATGAAGCTTAATTACTCCATTCTCATAATATTTTTTACATGATTTTAATTTGAGGAATAATTCTT